TTAATCTGTTTTGGGATTGTGTTGACATGGAGATTGCTTTAGGTAGGATTGTACTCTTCACTATATTGAGTCTTACTGTCGATGAACAGGGAGTATTTTTCCATTTATTTAGGTCTCTTATAATTTCTCACAATAGTGTTTTGTAGTTTTCTTTATGAAGGTCTCTGTGTCTCTGTTGTTGTTGTTGCTGCTGCTGCTGTTATATGCTGTTGGGTCACTTGTGACTCATAGCAACCCTATATACAACAGCTCTATACCCTTCTCTACCCTGTGCCAATTTTATTGTCTCTGACACACCTAACTTCATTACCCCAGTCACCGAATCAATCCATCTCATCAAGAGTCCTCCTCTCTTGTGTGGTCCCTCCACCCTCCCAAGCATAACATCCCTCTCCAAGGACCAGTCCCTCCTTGCAACATGTCCAAAGTATGTCAGACAAAGCTTCAGAATTCTTGCCTCCAAGGATCAGCCTGGTCTCACCCTCTCTAGGAAAAATCTGTTTTTTCTCCTAGCTGTCCATGGATATTCAATATTCTTCTCCAGCACCACAGCTCAAAGGCAACAATTCTCCTTCTATCATCCCTGGTCATTGTCTGATTTTCTGACACATAGCAAGTAATTGCAAAGACCATGGCCTAAATCTGGCACACCTTAGGTTCCAGACTGACATCATTGCTCTTCAGTAGTCCAGATAAATCTCTGACAGCAGATTTTCCCAGTGTAATTCGTCTTTTAATTTCCTGGCTGCTGGTACCAAGAGTGTTGATTGTGGAGCCAACCAAACTGAATCTGTTATCAATCTCAATCTCTTCACCATCTATCATGATGCTGCCAATTGGTCCAGTGGTGAAAAATCTTTGTTTTCTTGATGTTGAGCTTAAATCCATAATGAAGATTTCAGTCCTTGACCTTCTGGAGCAAGCGCTTCAGTCCTCCTCAGTTTCAGCAAGCAGGATTGTATAATCTACATAGCACAGATTATAGATAAGTCTTCCTCCAATCCTGATAACACATATCTCCTCATAGAGCCAGCCTCCCAGGTGATCTGTTCTGCATATAGATAGTGTTGCCAAATTGATTTTTCTTCTAGTGTGCTTCCATTGAGGCTGTTGTCATCCAGCTCACTGACTCTCTGTTCTCTCTCTTCTGTTCTGCTTTTTTTTGGCTCCCCCTTCCCCAGCATCTTGGAAACTTCTGCCATTTCAATCTTGATATTCTGGATTGCATTTCTGTTATTTACAAGACTGCATGGCTGTACCCTCTATGTCTTGTGGTGAATTTTTAAGTTCTTGTACCTCTTTATCTGTAATTTTAATTCTTTCTTTTACATTTTGTAATTGTTTTCTGCAGTTGTTCATATTCCTGTATGTCAATATATTTCTCCTGGCTCCCTGTCTCTGGAAACATGGCTTTATTTATTGCTTCCATTCTTTCTCCTATCATTTGCACCTCCTTCTGTAGCTATTTTTATGACTCCACATCAATATATTTCTTCTGCCTTCCTGTCTCTGGGGTAATCATTGGGTCTGCAATGTGCTCTGCTTTTTTAAGAGAAAGCTTATTTTGTTTTTTCACAATGTTTGAAGCTGGCTGATACTTTCTTGACATTATGTGAATATTTTTTTTTCTTGATATGTATTGGGCCATTTGTCTTGTGTCTGCATAGGTTGTTGACAGCTCTGGTGGCCGAGTGGCAAAAAGCTCAAAGACTAATGATTCAAGACCACCAGCTGCTCTGCGGGAGGTGGAAAACCTCCTCCCTTGTGGTTAAATGCCTCTGAAACCCTGCAAAGGGTCAGCTGAGAGTCAGTTCTGACTCTACTGTACACAACACAACTTACCCTTATGATGTTATTAATTAGTTGCAGGTTTACACTATTCCATCTATGGAGATGGTAAGCTCCCTCCATTGGAAATCCTTTCTGGGCCTATCAAGCAAGAAAGTTTGCCTTTCTTAAAGCCTGTCAGATCCTCTCTGGTCTGCAGTGCAGTCCTTCTTGTTGCCACCACGCCTGAAGTTTATTGTCCATTTTGTCCGCAGAATGGCACAGCCAGGTTCTGAACCTGGAACAGTTTCTGTCCAGGAGGGTGGAAGGCAGCTCCCTCCCCAGCACTTTAATGTGCTGGCTCTGGTAGTGAGTTTCTTTCCTGATTTGCAGCACCCTCTCTGAAATTTTATTGTCCTCTTTGGTCTGTGGACTGGCCCCTGTGGTGGCCAGATGTCCCACCTGGAACAGTTTCCCTCCAGAGAGCTGCAGGCCCCTCACTCCCCAGGATCTCAATATGCTGGTTCTGAAAGTGAGTGTCTGTCTGGATTGCAACCCTCTATCCTGAAGTCTGTGGTCCTCTTTGATCTATAGGCTGGCTCTGCAGTGGCCAGGTGTCCTGACTGGAGAAGTTTCCTTCCTGGGGAGTGGCAGATCCCTCAGAGAGGGTGCTGCAAATCAGGAAAGAAACTCACTACCAGAGCCAGCACATTAAAGTGCTGGGGAGGGAGCTGCCCCACAATGTACTAGTTCTGGGAGTGAGTCTGTCACTTGATTGCAGCCCCCTCTCCTGAAGTCTGTTGTCATTTTAGGTCTTCACAGCCAGGTAACCAGGATCCTGAACTGGAGCAGCTACTTTAGGGTCATGGCAGGAAGCTCCCAGCCTAGCATTTCTCAGTGCTCTCTTCTAACACCATCCATAGCCCAATGTAGCATGGGGCTTGAGACTCTTGAGTCCAGCTGTGACATTTGACTATAGTCCTAGAACAAACATGAGGTAGAAGCTTAACTGATCAAGTGCTGTGTGCTCACTGCAGTGGATGTTTGCCATAAGGCTCTTCTCTAATCCTCTTAACTACCTAGTGAAGAAAACATTGTGATTACCCCCATTTTGCAGATGGGAAAATTGAGGTACATTAGTGTAGTAGTACAGCAGAACTGATTTCAATTCAGGCATCTGTCCAATCTTTGTCTCTGTCTTCATGTCTTCTCTCTGTGTCTTCTCTTTTTCACAAGGCAAAGACAGAGTAAATGAGGAGACCCTTAAGGATCTCATCTAATCTTGACAATAACTGAAAGAAAAGCCACTTTTTCCAAATAAAGGCCCGCTCAGAGATGCCCAGGTTTAGGACTTGAGTATGCAGGAAGACATCAGTCAGCTCATCACAGAGCCAACAGCACGTGGAATGAATTGCCTCCACTCTGCTCCAATCTTAGTTTCTATCTTCTCAAAAGTTAAGATTTCTCTTCTCTACTCGTCCTGCATTGAAATCTCCTCAGATCTCATTTCATTCATTTTTTTTTATTTCATTATGGTGAAATATTTGTTTTATTGTTTTGGGGGGGGTGTTTTTTATTGTGGTGGGGGGTTGCCCTTTTTTAATTGAGATTTTATTGAAAGTTTATAGAGAACTTGGATTCCCATTCATTCATAGTTACACATTTTTCTCCCTGCCCCCCCATCCCCCAGTTTGCTTTTTTCATTGGAAAAAAATTATTTCACTGTTATACAGCTCCCCACCCCAGGTCCACTTTTCTATGCAGCTCTTGTTCTGGACTCTTGTCATGCCAATAAAACCTAATCATATATTCCTTTTATGCAGTTCTCTCCCTCATCTGTTTCAATGCCATGTACATTATTTATTCCCTCTTTTTTTCATCTCCCCCCAACCCCTATATAGTGGAATTATGCAGCATCTGTCAGTCCTGTTTCATAATAGTGGCATTATGCAGTATTTGTCTTTTTGTGACTGAGATATTTCACTGAGAATAATGTCCTCCATGGGTGGTGAAATATTCTTAACAAAAGGTTTTCCATCTTAACCAACTTTAAGTGTACAATTTAGTGATGTTAGTTATACTCTCTGTGTTGTGCATGATTTCATTGCTATTGTCAATTTACAAAAAGTTTTCAGTTTTCATAACCTTAGATCGAAACCAAGTGTCCATTCAGTTAAAAGAGAAAATAAAAACAGTGTATATGAATCTTGTATGCAAGCCAACATAAAATTTTTTTAAAATTTTAATATCATATTCTTTCCCTTCATTTGTTTTTAAAGTACAGATTATTATCTAATAATAGAATGTATTCAGGGTTTTTTAAACTATGACCCATAATTAATTTCCCTTCAAGGCATAAAGTAATAGTTTATGAGATATTGAATTGGGAGGAATTATTTCAATAAAGTAGTTTAAACTGAAAAAAAATAGACATTAAACTTCCATCCTCCATACTCACAGCCACTGATAACCACTAATACTTTTTTGTCTCTATGTACTTGTCTATTCTAGATATTTCATGAAAGAAAGGAATAGGAAGTAAGACTTTATGAGTAATGCAACTAACAAGCTGTTACAGGACATGCATGAGGTGATGAAGGGAAGGGAGGATAAATCTGTATGAATAAGGGAATGGAAAGCCAGTTTCTCGGGAGTTTACATCCCACTCAAGTCATAATTGTAAAAAAGGAGGGAAAATAATTTGTAATAAATATTTTATATAATATAAATGTATAATATTTATAAATATTCTATGAGTAAATATTTTCAAATAAAATGTAAAATGGACCGTATCTGTCCTTTTATGTCTGATTTGTTACATCATTAAATTTTCACAAGACTCTGAAGAGTATTTCTCTTTGCGTACGAGAAAACTGAGGTTAGAAAGATGAAATCATCTACCCACAATCTCACTAGAACAAAAATCAGGAAACTGCAGCAGGTGAGAAGTAGACTCCAAGGCCAGACTTCCTCGGTTAAATCTCAGCTCTGCACTGGCTGCTCTTACTCTGAGTAAGTCCCTTGCTCTCTGAGCAGCCTCAGTTTCCACATTGATAAAATAGTTGGGGTGAATAGAGAGGATCCACACAGCACACTTTGAAGGGTGCGGGGCACGTAGCAACTCGGGGTAAGCTGCTTCTGGTTATCATGCTTTGTTTTCTGACAGCAGGGATTTCACCCAGACCCTTGAGAGTCTGGCCTTGCTAACCTCGCCCTGCATGCTTCTTTTTCAGGATGCGCCACGGCCCAGGGCGGGGCCGAGGATGAAGGGGAGGCGGAGGCGGGCTGGATCGAGGGGGCCGCCATCCTCCTGTCGGTCATCTGTGTCGTCCTCGTCACAGCCTTCAACGACTGGAGCAAGGAGAAGCAGTTCCGGGGCCTGCAGAGCCGCATCGAGCAGGAGCAGAAGTTCACTGTCATCCGGGCCAACCAGGTGGTCCAGATCCCGGTGGCCGAGATCGTGGTTGGGGACATAGCCCAGATCAAATATGGTGAGTGTCCCTGCCGCAGAACCAGGCTACAGAGCTCGAATCTGTGCAGCGGTGGGCCAGGCTAGGGCCCCACACAGCTGGACACTGTTCCAGGCTGGCTCTATCTGGGCTTATCCCTGCTCAGGCTACCTCCTGAGGTCCTCCGGGATAGGATGACACTTCCTAGGAAGAGGTAGGATTCAGAATCCCATTAAATCAGTAATGGCAAATGCATGGGATGGGTGCCACCACTCTGCAAACCCCTACTATGATGGATCTCTGAGCCTGGATACAACCTGAGCCTCTTCAACACAGCACATCAAGGCCTATGCTGCCCAGAGTGGATTTATAATATGAAATTCCCTTCCCATCCCTGATTTGGCTGCCAAAAGGTGATGGTGGTGCCTAGGGAAAGTGTTAGAGGAAGCAGAATGGGGTGAGCAAACATCCTAGGCCTATGATGCCAGAGGGAAAGTGGGAAGGCTAACACCGAAGGTTCGAGGAAGATAAATCCTGGGTAAGTAGAGGCAGAAGGAATAGGGAGAAGGGTAACTCTAGTGGCCTTCCTCACTTAGGCCTGAGGGTCTTCATTTCTCCTAATGATATGTTCATTGCAGGTGCTTCTTAGCCTGAGTAGGACAGGCTAGTCCCTTCCAAAAGAATTTCTCCAAACCACACAGAAGATGAGAGAAGACTTGTAGATGGGAGCCTCAGAACTCAAGATGCATAAAATGAGAAAATTTGGCCCCAAATCCAGTTCAAAACAAGAAATAGTTTGTAAACTGTAAAGTGCATGCCCACTTGGGCTAGAGCAGATACTGGACTCAGATTCAATCACCCAGCTTTAAACTATTCACCTTTGCCCAGTCTCTAGCTGCCTGTTGGCCCAGGGCAGGTGCCATCTTGGTTTCTGCACCTGTTCCCCTGATGAGCATCCCCTGCTAATTACACCTGTGAGGGAAAGCTGTGGTCTCTCCAGCCAACTAGGACCCAGCTGACTCCCCGCTTTTGCTCTTACCAGGTGATCTCCTCCCTGCCGATGGCCTCTTCATACAAGGCAATGACCTCAAGATCGATGAAAGTTCCCTGACTGGGGAGTCTGACCAGGTGCGCAAGTCTGTGGACAAGGACCCCATGCTGCTGTCAGGTGAGCTGTGATCAGCTGGCAATGAGCCCACTCCAAGTTTCTCCCCGAGGAGGAGCACGTGTGTCTCCTGTCCCTAAAATGGGTGGCCCAGTAGCTTTGTGCTTGGCTCTGGGACCTAGACAGCCCTCCCCCCAGTGAGAACACCTTCCCTTTTCTCACCAAATGCACTTGCTATGAGCTCAGCACTCATCTACAACCTCAAGGTGTCACTGTGAAAATATTGACAGGGACCCGATTTATAGAAAAGTCACTGTTTTTATCAGAAAAGAGCAAGAAGGAACCCAGGGCACCTCCTCTGGCCAGGAGACAGGCCAAGTTCTGGAGGTTCAAGGGCAGGAGGCAGGTAGGCCTCAGTCCCTGGTATGCAGCTCAGCAAGCAGAGGGAGGCAAAAAAGCCAGAGGGTGATAAGTGTCTGAAGAAAAGAAAATAAGGCCCACAGAGTGTAGGTGTCTAGGGGTTCTCAGCAGGCCTCTCAGGCATGGGAAGGAGGCAGCTTTGTAAATCCTAGGGGGACAAAGGCTCAGAAGCAGGATTGCAACTGGAGGCCAGCAAGCCAGGTGGAGAGGGTGGAGCTGCATTTCTTGTGCAACTCAGGAGTTTGGCATTTATTCTGAGGGTTCTAAACAGAGTTTCTTGGTGAGCTGGTGGCACTTTCCTATAAAAGATCCCTCTTGCTACTGCAAGTATTGATGAGAAGAATCACCCTCCCCATGGGGATACTCACAAGTGTTACTTCCCAGCAGTGCTCAGCAAACATCCAAGCTCCTACTCTAGGCCATGATCCAGACCTCCCCCGCTGCCCTTGGGAGCTGCCAGCCAGGGAACTGGAAATAACAAATCTAAGCAGAGAGGTGAGAGCAAGGTATCCTGAGTAAACCTAGAAGGTGGCAACTCAGCCCTGGGGAATGGACAGACCAACCCAGAAGGAATTTATGAAATACTTGAGCACCACAACAAGATAAAGGTAAATAATCCAATAGAAAAATGGGCACAGGATATGAACGGGCACTTCACCGAAGACGACATTCAGATGGCTAACAAGCACATGAAGAAATGCTCAAAATCCCTAGCCCTAAGAGAGATGCAAATTAAAACAACTATGAGATATCATTTCACCCCAGTCAAAATAGCAAAATTTAACAGAACAGCAAGCAACAAATGCTGGCGAGGTTGTGGAGAAACTGGAACCCTGATTCACTGTTGGTGGGAGTGTAAAATGGTGCAACCACTGTGGAAAGCAGTATGGCGCTTTCTCAAAAAGTTGCAACTAGAGATACCATTTGACCCAGCAATTCCACTACTGGGAATATACCCTGAAGAGACCATAGCTGACATCCAAGCAGATATATGCACACCCATGTTCATTGCAGCTTTGTTCACAATAGCAAGGAGTTGGAAACAACCTAAGTGCCCATCAACAAACGAATGGCTAGAGAAGCTGTGGTATATTCGCACAATGGAATACTATGCTGCATTAAAAAACAAGGAACTCATGCAATATTATTCAAAATGGTTGACTCTGGAGAACATTATGCTGAGTGAAATATCCCAGTCACAAAAGGACAAATATTACATGATGCCACTGTTGTAGAATGGGACTGTCCTTGGGGTTGGGGAGACACTGAGTAAGATGGGTTCAATAATGTATACTGCACTGAAGCAGAGGAGGGAGAGAACCGTCTAAAAGAGAGATGTAACTGGGTATTTCTGTCATCACAGGAGACTAGAGCGAGGGCTGCATGGTGGAGGGGACCTGGGGGAGGGTTTGTAAAACAATGAAAGAATCTTTTCTTTTACTTTTCCATAATTTTTGGACTCATGTACTTATAACTTGTTAGTCAAATTTGTGTCTTCTAGGTTGCAACACCCCCATGATACATCTTGAAGGATATGTACATGTACAGCCAAGCACAATCAATAAGAGTGCATCTGAATTCCAAAATCAATCTCCATAATAGTCTATGTGTTTCCTACTGCCAAAGGGGCCCTTTAGAGTAGTGAGAGAAGATCTTCACCCTGAAACCCACAGCGTCCCTTTTCAGCAGGAAGTAGCTAAGAGAATACACCGTGCCCTTTTCCTTATGACTCAGGGTGAAGTCTCTCTCAGGGAGGAGTGATAGGGAATGGCAAAGGATACACTGACAAAGAAGATTAATCAGAACTGGCTTTGACAAGCACTGTGGCATTTGGACAAGAACAAACTGGGAGGAGGGTAGAGAGAATAGTACAACAATGAATGAGTGGAAGCCCAAAATCTCTGTAAATGTTTATGAAAATTAATAAAATATAATTATAGAAAAAAAAAAAAGAAGGGTCTTTAAAGGATGAGCAGGAAGTCACCAAACAGAACTGTAGGGGAAAGGGCAACTCCTTACAGGGACAACTAGGGGCAAAGACAGAGACATCTGAATATGGAGTGTTCTGGAAAAAGGAGTATCAGTCAATGTGTTTGCAAGGGAGGATGATGAGAAAGAGTAAGATTAAGGATGGGACATTTATTTATCTGAGATTTGACAGTCAACATTTATGAAGCACCTAATGTATGCCTCTAGCCCACACCCACTGCTATCTAGCCCTCTCCCACTTAAGACAACCTTCCACCTGGTTACAGAGATTATAGGAGGAGACCACCCACCTTTCTTCTGAGGAGCAACTGATGGATTCAAACCACTACGCATTGTATACTGTGCCAGTAGACCTCCTAAAATCTAATAAAGGATGCACGAAAAGGGAATATATGTTAAATATATTCTTTCAAACAGTGATAAGTCAGAATAAGATAATGTACCATTGTAATAAAGTAGAGACCCTGAGGACAGGCATGGGCATCTTGGTTGATCAGGGAAGGCCTGTCTGAGGAAGGGACATTGGAGCTGAAATCCAAACAATGAGAAGAAAGAGCATTCCAGGAAGAGGGAACTGCAAGTGCAAAGGCCCTGGAGTCTGAGTGAGAGACAGTTGAAGGCCTTGAATGTCTTCGTGAATGGCAAGATCACACAAGGCTCAAAAAATTATGAAAGGCCTGTGACTGTGGAATGAATTGGTTGGCAGAAGTGAACAGGTCATCTGAATCCATGGAAGTCATCAGGTACCAAACAGTGCCAAACAGTTCAGACAAGCAGTGGAAATGGAACTACTTGACAGGCGACTGGGGAGAGATGTTCTGAATCACTGACCAAATCTCACAGACCAACTGAGAGAGCAGACAGGGGCAGAGAGACATTGTAAGAAAATAGGGATAAGGGGCAGGTGGTCAGGGATGCCTAGAGGCCCAGTGGGAGCCCCAGGGGGAGCAGAATTGCTGAGTAGGGACACAAAGGCCCAAAGGGAATGCTTGCTGCTGTTATTTGCCATCTAATCAATTCTAATATATGATGACAACATATGGTGACCCCATGTGTGCAGAATAGAATCATGCCCCACAGGGTTTTCTTTTTTTTTTTTTCTATAATTATA